CCTTGTTCTTGATTTGAAATCAAAAGTCAGTGTGTTTGATTTCAAATGCCTCTCTGCACTGATTAACCATAATGTTGACAGAAGATTGTCTTCTGTGAAAGAAATCCACCACAGGAAGCTAAGAAACTTGGGTATCGACCTTAGAAATAAGGTTGATATTAACAAAGTTATCTTTAATTTCTCTGACCGAACTCTATCTGCTGATGAAAATAATGCCTTATCTCTAGGTTTGGATTTTGGTCTACGACCCCGCAAATTAAGTTATTTCAATTTTTTTACCCATTTCGAAAGAATTTGCCATATGCTTAAAAATTGTAATATCTACAAAGACACTTTCAATGCAGTGTTCAACAAAATCTCTGCTCTTGCTAATAATATGTATGTACAGCATTGCAGAGAATCAATGTATAGCCCAGACCACACAGAACAATATGCTAATGTTCTTCAAAATTTAAAAGACGATGATAGCATTGTGATAACAAGACCAGACAAAGGAAAAGGCATAGTAATCCTTAACATAGTAATCCTTACTGTAACAAAATATCTAAACTTGAAGATAAATTAAACAGACTCTTACGACCTATTAAAGAAACCATTAATGAAGCCACATATAATTCCATTCTCGCTTCTGGCTCTCGTCCTGGTTGTTTATATGGACTCCCTAAAGTTCATAAGACTGGTACACCTCTGAGTCCTATTGTTTCATCAATTAACACTTTTAATTATAACCTTGCTAAATTCCTAGTTAAAATTATAGAACCCCTTACCACTAATGAGTACACCACTGCCAACACCTTGGAATTTGTAAATGAAATTAAACAACTCAACATTGATGATCCTACAATAATGGCAAGCTTTGATGTTGAATCTCTATTCACTAACGTTCCTCTGTCAGAAACCACCCAGATTATCACAGATACCACATCTGACGAGTCTTTGTTACACTTTGGTCTCAACAAAAAACAGTTTAATTCCTTTCTAAATGTTGCCACGAGAGACTCTGTTTTTTCTTTCGATAATCAACTTTACACTCAAATTGACGGTGTAGCCATGGGTTCACCCCTCGGCCCTAGCTATGCTAATACTTTTCTTTGCCATCATGAACGAAATTGGTTAAATAACTGCCCAGATCATTTCAAACCAATTTTTTACAAAAGATACGTGGATGACACGTTTCTTCTTTTCAAACAGCAGTCACACATTGAACAGTTTCTGTCATATCTTAATGAATAACATCCAAACATTAAGTTTACGTGCGAAACAGAAAAAGAAAACAAACTTTCCTTTCTTGACGCATTTATTTCCAAAGAAAACGGATGTCTCTCTACTTCGGTTTATAGAAAACCAACTTTCAACCGTTTGGGAATGAATTATTTAAGTTTCACACCTTTGAAGTATAAAATTAACAGTATAACCACTCTAATTAATAGAGCATTTAATATTTGCTCTACCTGGATCCAATTTGATGACGAAATCAAATTCTTAGTCAATTATTTCAATAGCAATGGTTTTCCTGATAACATTTTTTACGACCCTAAGATCATTCTTGGATAATAAACTAAGCCCACCCACAAAAATCCTCACCGCTCACAAAGAAACAAAGTTCATAAAATTACCGTATCTTGGTGATATAAGTTTTACCATTCGAAAACAATTACGTGAAATACTTAAACATTCATTCCTTCAGATCAGCTTCAACATTGTCCTTGTCAACCACTATAGTATCAACTCGTTGTTTAGAAAAAGAATGCCTCTGCCTTCAGAACTATGTTCGAATATAGTATATATTTCCAATTGTCCTAGATGTAACGCTAGGTACATTGGGTCATCCACTCGATGGCTCAAACATAGAACACTCGAACATATGGGCAAATCTATCAGGACGAACCTACCTCTGAGCAGACCTTCTTTCTCTGCTGTTCGTCAGCATTCACACTCACAAGATCACCCGTTCACTCACAATGATTTTAAATTTCTGTCCACAACAGCTAACAAACTTGACCTTCTCATCTCAGAATCCCTGTATATCCACAAGATGAAACCTGACCTGAACAATAGTACAGCCATTCAGTTGTTTACGGTGTAATTCAACCACCGTAACAAGCACTTCTTCACTTGTCTTTGGTATGTCTCACCCTTACCCAAGTTTTACATTTTTTCACTATGTTTTTGACTGTTTCTTTTTTGTTCACTTGTTACCTTTTGATTTGCTTACTCTGTTATGAACTATTTTTACCACTGTTCTCTTTATCTTATCTAATTTGTTCTTGTATTCTCTGTTTTAGTCTGATGATGGAGAGATAACTCTTCGAAACGTTACTTAATAAAGATGTTCATCACAGCCTTGGCCTTCCTTTTCCTTCTGAGATTACGATTCCCGAATGGAAAATCAACTGCAGAAATCATTATATATATATATATATATATATATATATATATATATATATATATATATATATTTATAATATATATACATATATATATATATGTATACACATATATACCCACGCACATATTTATGCATATATTATATATATATATATATATATATATATATATATATATATATATATTACATATATGTGTGTGTGTGTGTGTGTGTGTGTGTGTGTGTGTGTGTGTGTGTGTGTGTGTGTGTGTGTGTGTGTGTGTGTGCGTATGCATATATAAACTAGATAGATATATAGACAGATATATATAGGCCTTTTTTCCGCCGTCAAGGAACTGTAGTACTACAGTTTCCTATGACTCCGCCCCTATTTATGGGGGCGGAGTCATTTATAAGCAACTGCACCTGGCTGATGAGCGCGCGGAGCACCTCTGCCCGTTCTAAAACTGGAAGAAAATGGGTTCACATTTGATGCTACACTGTATGGAGCATTATTAGTAACGTTGATGTTAATGAGGATATTATTCCACTAACTACTAGTTTAAAAGTATTTATGCGTGCGTGTCTGTGTGTGTGCATATATATAAATGTCTGTGTATACATGTATATATATACACGCATATGTATACATACATATATATGCATATATATATTTAAACACATGTATACATACATGCATATAGATATATAGATAGATAGATAGATAGATAGATAGATAGATAGATAGATAGATAGATAGATAGATAGATAGATAGATAGATAGATAGATAGATAGATAGATAGACAGACAGATAGATATAGATATAGATACATATACGTATGTATATATGAGTATATATATATTTATATACATATACTACACACACACACATACACATATTTATACATATATATGCACACACACACACACATGCATACATATACATATATATATATATATATTATATATATATATATATGTGTGGTGTTGTGTGTGTGTGTGTGTGTGTGTGTGTGTGTGTGTGTACGTGTTTTCTTTTCATTTCCCATTACTTATGCGCATGTAATGTAGTATAATGATAATGATATGATTCTAAGAAAAATCTTACAGTTCGGCAATATAGGAAAACATGAACAACTTTACTAGATCGTCCTGCTCTAGCAACAGAAATACAATATTGAAAATTTACACTACTACCATAGAAAGCAGTACAGGGTTTAAGCTTTAATACTGATATGCTCTCAAATCAATAGGGCCTCGGCTAAGAAGAGCGAGGTTCAGGTTTATCTTTCATATGTGTGCGCTTTTATGCGAAAGTTTATGTAAGGCACTATTAGTTACTGCTTTTCATATATCATTATGCTTTAATTTTGGGCATATTCAGGCCTCCAAAAGTGTTCCATGACGAGAGAGAGAGAGAGAGAGAGAGAGAGAGAGAGAGAGAGAGAGACTGACTTATCTGCTTATATGTATGCACATGCACACACGTGTGGGTGTGTGTGATATATATGTAAATATATGTATACAATATATGTATATATATTTTTTATATACATGTATATATATATTCTATTTTAATCTATCTGTCTATCTATATGTCTATATCAACGTCTGTCTCTCTCTCTCTACTTATATATATGTGTAGGTGTGGGTGGGGTGTGCATGTGTGTGTGTGTGTGTATATATGTATATGTGTGTGTGTGTGTGTGTGTGTGTGTGTGTGTGTGTTGTGTGTGTATATATATATATATATATATATATATATATATATATATATATATATATAAATAATATATTATATATTATATATATTATATATAAATATATATATATATATATATATATATATATATATATATATATATATATATGTACACACATTTATATATATGTATGTATATGTATGCATGTGTGTATGTATATCTATATTTACATGCATATATGTCTGTGTTGAGTTTAATTATGTTTAAACTTGTTTAGTTTTGCTTCTGTTTGTCTATTCGAAAACTAATCTGATGACTGCTTCAGAAACACACCTCATATATTACCTTGCACAGTAATATAACTGCCGTTGTTTTTCTTTTAGATCACTGAAGATGGAGCGAAAGACCGAAACGTATGAAATTTATAAAGATGTTTGTGGCAGTCCTGGCTATATTTGTCTTTCTGTATTGCACTGTATTGCATGTATAGTATATTATGCTTACATAATATCCTATTTTCGTATTCATATATATTTGAAATGTGAAGAGGTAAAACATATAAATATGTCATTGCTATCAGGAATAGAGATACAGATATTGACAGAAATTAATAAATCATAAATCAACTGGTATTACCAACTGATAAGCATATATATATAAATAAAGGTGTGTACATAGCCATAAACATGTATGTATTTATTCATTTGTTTATACGTATATATATATATATATATATTATATATATTATATATATATATATATATATTTAAATACATATATATATATATATATAATATATATATATATATATATATGTGTGTGTGTGTGTGTGTGTGTGTGTGTGTGTGTGTGTGTGTGTGTGTGTGTGTGTGTGTGTGTGCAAGTATACGCGTAAGAGTTTTGTTATCAAAGGAGAAATATAATAAAACAGGTTTCATTGGTTATATTATTCAAAGATTTTTAAGTAGTACATCATCATTCACGATATCCTACAGTTAGCATGAGGACAGATCTCACAGCTTGGACTGAAAAAAGAAAGAAAAATTAAAGTGAACACATCTCACAATGAGCTGAGGAAATACAATAGAAAATGTAAATTTACCTTATGTAATGCCTAGCTTTCATCTCAACAGAAAAATATCTTCGAAAAATATGCATCGAAGCAGTAAATAAGTAAAAACACTTACGTTGGCATGGATAGCAAGCACGCCGTCGTCTTCCATGGTCGTGATCTCGATGTAGGCCTTTCCGTCGCCGCCCACAGTCACGCTCTTGCCCGTGCAGGAGCCTCCGTCCTTCGACCCGGAGATGACGTCGCAGTACGTACCCGCAGGAAGGCAAGTCTGCAAATGCAAAGGATTTAGAGATGTTAATGTTCCCGGGTTTTGGGTCTAAAGAGCTTAGACCGTTTCTGTTGCAATCGGTTTAGTAGACCAATTCAGAAACTTTCAGGTCTGACTACAAAGGCACAGGGGATTCGACTTATCTATGTTGATTTCTAACAATTTTCTGTTGACTGTCATGTTGCAGCGCAAGGAGTATCGCGGATAGCGTAAATCACTGACTGCAGCGTCTCCTTCAGATCCCATCCGTCGTTGTTGATGGCCAGGAAGCCCTTGTTGCCTCTGCAGAAGGCGATCTGGTTGCTGCCGTTGTCCCACCAGTCGTTCATGTCCGTCCCTGTGAGTACCGGTCTCCCTCATAATACTACAAATCACACAGTACAGAGTCGCCCGGAAGGGAATAAGCTTTTCAGGGAAGTTTATTGCGAATATACAGTATGAGGTGACATACCAGTATATTTTATTGCAATCGGGCAAATATGAATTTTCTTTTGCAGAGCATGGCAAGACTGAAGCTAATTGATTTATACTGTCATGATAACTCACCATGGGCAACATTCCGGAACTCCACCATGTTGTAGATCTGCCTCCAGCGGTGCTCGCAGATCCAGCCGTTCCCGCAGCTGCCGTCGGCGTTGAAGCTCGGGCTGATGATGTTGAAGCTGTCGTCGTGAGGAGGTCCGACCCAGTCGTTCTTATCCTGGCCATTCTCCCACCATTGGTCCCAGTAGTACGACGACATCACGCGCGTGTAGCCGTAAGGCCAACCCAACATGAATGCGTTGGCCATCTAAAGGAAAGAGAGTCATCATTTCATGCATTTTCGTGTATGATTATGCACCGGCATCAAATTCTTATGTGATATAATAATAGTATGTCATAAATATATAGAATTATTTCTTCATATTGACTGATCACCTGTGATTAACAAGTCCTTCTGAAAGAGCGATCTGAAGAGAGATGCATGGCTTCTTGTTGCGTAACTTATATTTGCTCTCAATCTAAACGTTAGCTTTCTGGAGGCCCTCACCTTGTACCATTTAGGGACACGGAAGGTAAGGATCATGTCTCCTCCGGCACCATGGCCGCGCTGGTTGTCGTGGTTGTCAATGAAGACGAGTGAGTTGGCCCTGTGCATCATGCCCCAGCCTTCGCCGAAGTTGTTGAGGTACTTCAGCTGGTTGTTGCCGCGGAATGCCTCGCCCAGGTACTTGCCGTACCGAAACTCCGTTACACGTCCTTACCGACGTATTCTTCGCTGGATATGGCCTCGCCGCCTGTGAAAATAGGCATAATATGTATAGGAATATGGTAATATATATAATATATTTATGACATATGTAAATGTATATATGCGTGTGCGCACGTAAGATGAAGAGACAAATTTGCATAAATCATATATCCAAATATCCAAAGAATAATTCTTCAGAAAAAAATACCCAGATCAATGACTTCTTGGACGATGAAGGGTCTGGCACCGACCCCGTAGATATCTGGACTGAGGTCGTCCAGGCTATCGAAAATGGCCTAAAAAGAAACAGCGATCAGTACTTGCCAGGGCATTGAGAAAGTGACGTAAAAAGAAGGTACGAATTCCTTTTAAAAAGTCTTTTTTTTTTGTATGTATACCTTCATGTCCCCAGGCCACATGTGCTTACTGGCGTCGACGCGGAAGCCGGCGACACCGAAGCTGATAAGGGTGTTGAGGTAGTCCCTGATCTTGCCTCGCACGTAGTCAGTGCCTTGGTTCAGGTCGTTCATCCCGGACAACTTGCAGTTGCGTACCTACAGTGAATATGATAGTGAAGGCTGTAAATGTAACGAATTTCGTTACCAAACCCGGTTGATTCATCATAATTCAATTTGTTTTCACATCTACTATTTTTACATCAATTTTTTTACACATATTGTACCTGATTGGCGTCGCCGTAGTTTTCGATGTCACCGGATCCGGTGTGGCAGTTGGCGTCGGTTGAAATCAAAACCGGAGTAGGGACACCGGGGTAGGACTGTGCGCCTGAGTCAAAGGAGGACCCACCGGTGCTTCCTGTGCCCGCTGGCCACCAACCGGTCATGTGATTCACCACGATGTCGACGTAGATCCTGGAGACGAGGTAATGCTACTCTGGTGACGGCAGTCCTCTATTTCTTTAGTATTCTAATTGTCAGTATATAGGGATGAATTTACCTTACTCCCACGTTGTTGCATCGAGTTATCATGTCCTTGAAGGCGTTTTCGTCGCCAGAGCGAGAGACGATCTTGTAGGACACCGGCTGGTACCTCTCCCACCACGGCCGCTGCACATCTCCCTGGTATGCTACCAGACATTCAGTGGGTGGTATACCTTCCGAGAAAGATTTTTTTTTTGTATGTATATGACATAGAATATTTAAAGCGTTTGTGATATGGTTCCTAGGGGATGTCACATCATTCCACTGCGTAAAACGTTTTTCAGTGTTGGAATGTGAGTCCGTGGATACCTGAACGCCGGCGAATCCTCGGGGAGCCAAGAAGTTCTCGCATTCGCGCGGCGATGTCCGGCCACTTCCACTCAAACAAGTGGACGATAACCTTGTAGAAGATAAGTTATGAGGGTAGCATTGGATCTGCTGTCTTATGTTAATATTTATATTTTAAGAATGGTACTAAAATAATCTATCATGAACAGTAGTTTTAATGATTTGGATAACTCTGAAAAGTACTAAAAGGAATAAAAAAATCCAGTACTGTGCATTATGTAGGACTTATGTTAGGTTAAGCAAAATGACTGACCTGTCCATTGCTAGAGTTGGGATCCCACTGCGCCTGTGCGGCCGCAGCCAACAGCACTACCAGAGGCGCGACCCTCAGCATTGCTGTCGCCTAAGATTTGAAGTGCTTGTTTAAAAAAAGTAGATTGCGACGTCGAATTCCGCTATGATTGTTTTCTAAATGTACATTTTCTGGAAAACTTTAACTTTTTTTTAATTTGAATTTTCTAAATTTCAGATATCATGAGCCTTTAATTTGAATGGTATTCAGTATAAGCTCATAAAGCCCTCTAGCTCCAAAACAAACCTGGCTCAAAAATCAGTGACTCATTTTACAAGGATAAGTTAGACACATTGTCAAGTGAATTAACATAGATGCTCACCTTTGGGCAAGAGAGAGAAGTAGTACGAAAACCTACAGAAGTCGGTTATTAAGAGCGAGCACGATGTCTTCTCAAGCCTTGCAGACGCATCTGCTGTTTCTCTGTTGTCACTGATATAGTCTTACAAAAAAAATAATAAGACGGATCATAACCATGATGAATCACCCCGACCACGTTGTACAGAAGAGAAGGGTTATGTTCTCATTACAATTTCAGTCGTGAAGTACATTAAGTCGCTTTATATCTCATGCAATAGATGCTATTGTATTTAAGATATCTGTAAATACGTATGGTTGTAGTCAGAAGACTTGCTGTGTAATTTGTGACTGTCAAGAAATGAGGGGGTTTCTCTTTTACAGTTTTTCTACAATTATGACATTGCAATTGTCTGAAGCAATGACAAACTTTTTTGGCCTTAATTTATTTCCCAATTTCTAATGAAATCAATAAACTAGTCACGTAGTTGCTTTGTATTTCAAATAGAACGTTTATAAAAAATATGATTGCAGATGCAGTCACAAAAATATGGAATTTCTACTGTAGTCACGGTGACGCTATTGTAAGCGAAGTGTAAGAGAAGATAAGGATCAGGAAAAATCATTTCCTTATGTGAGTCTCAACATATGCTTCCTCGTTCTTAATTACTATGTAATCATTCAAATTTATCTTCATATATGTATGTAATATATATGTATATATATATATATATATATATATATATATATATATATACATATATATATATATATATGTATATATAATATATATATATATATATATATATATATATATATATATATATATATATATATATATATGTATATGTATATATATATATATATATATACATATATATATAATAAATATGTATATATATATATATATATATATATATATATATATATATATATATATATATGTATGTATGTATGTATGTGTGTATATGTATGTGTATATGTGTATACGTCATATTAACAAAAATAATAATCATCATAATTATCATTGTTTTTGTGATTATCATTATCATTGTTATTGTTGATATTATTATTGTTATCATTGTTGTTGTTATTATTAATATTATCATTATTATCCTTGTTATTATTAGTATTGTTGTTATTTTTATTATTTCTATCATTGCTATTGTATTCTAATTATTATTATTCCTGTCATCATCATTATTATTATGAGAACGCTTCAACGATTCTCAGAATTGGCAATGTCCAGCGTGGTCAATTCGATTTTCACTCTTAAGCTTTATTGTAGATTGAATAACAATTTCGCTGCAAGCAAATCAGAGTAAAGTCTGGTCTTTTTTCGGCGATTTTCGCCTACTTTGCCGAATTTGATTTAAATGCATTTTCAGGGAGTTCCAAGGCCCCCGGTTCTCCCTGGAAATTTCAAGGCCCGACCGTTATTGTTTAGGTGGTGGCAGCCATTTTCGATGTCGACTGAAATATTACTTTTCCACGTTACCTTAGAAAATTGGCAATTGTGACGCAATGATTAGAGATAATAAAAATAATGAGTTTATTTTTGAAAGCTTATTAAATTTCACGATAATGAAGATTTTTTATGGAGTATTTTATTTTATTTATGTTTCATCATACATAGTTTGATCTATGAGCAAAAAAAATCGAAAATGCAAACCTCCCCCCCAAAAAAAATGGGAGGTAGGATTGCCATATGATCCGGATCACCACCAAAATTTTATTTATTAGGTAAGACAAACCTCAGGTAAAACTTTAAAATCTGCTCATAACTTTTCGAGTTAGAAAAAAATCCTGGATCCAAACCATGGTCTGCACCACCACCAAAGTGGTGGTGCAGACCATGGTTTGGCTAATGGTTTGGCTAACACACACTTTGGTTAAAGTCTCATTAAAATGTGTTCAATAACTTTTAGAAATATCAGAAACACATACAAAAAACAATCAACAAACAAACAAAGAAACAAACGGGAGTTACAATATAAATAAACAAAAGGTCATGGGGTACACGAAAATGATATATATGTGCTTATATACCTTATATACATACTCTTACATTGCCTTATAATAGTATTTCGTCTTTTCACGGGAGCCTGAGTGTGAAAATTGGCTATGTGGTCCCGTAGAGTTAAACACCACCATTCCGCAGATGTAAAGGGACATACGTCATAATGCTGTGACGCACGGCGCGCGCTGAGAAAAGGACGCGTGATTCCCGTCCGACTGGAGAAGTTATTTTTTCGACCATTATTATACATTGTAAAATCCCATTAGAGGAACAATAATAGGTAAATAACAGATAATTATATCAAATACAAGTATTTCCTACATGATTTGTCATATAAAATGTATAAATAATGAAAAGGAAAAAATCATGATTATTTGAACTTCACATTTTTATGCATAACACATGTATTTTAGTCCGATTTTAACGTATAATGGCTCATTTTGTAGCTGAATAATATATGTATTACAATGCAATAAGGATTTGCAATATTCATGTGCTTCTATAAAAGTGACATATATTTCAAAATCCTCCTATTAGGGTGTTTTAACAGTCACCTTCGGAAAATATTCACCAAAAAAAAGTAAGGTCGACTTCTCAAAAATGGCTTCTGCATATAATAGTAGAAGAATGGCTGTATGATTTTGTTTTCATTTTTATTATTATTATTATTTAATGGTCAATGTAGGCCTATACACCCCCCCCAGATCATTGCCATACTCTACACTATACACAAGATTTGAGAACCGTTTCGTGCTGGCAATGTCCGGAAGACTTTGGAATGCAGGTACATGACAGAGGATTATGGTGTAGGAAGACTAATCTTATACCTTGTTTTGTTGATACCAAGTTAGTCATGGCAAGATGAAGAAAACGAAAAATGCCATCTCGGTATACCGCCTCTAGGTATCGTGGAGATCCTCACAGGCGCAAATTAGGACAAAATTTACATTTTATGGCTTTGTGGAAAAATTAAATAGCTACAACTTGTTCGAAATTTTGTTTGCAATTTTTGCCTGTGCTTCTTGTAAAAGTGACAAACGTCAGAAAGTTTTTCACTTCTTTTATTTTCGTGAAGTAGACTACTACAAAAATTCACCCAAAATAAAAAGTAAGTCGAAAAAGAATGTCATACAAGTTGTAGCTATAGGATAGCTCTGTACAAAAATCAAAGAAAATTTAATGTTTTATCATTTTTGAAGACATGAAGATTTCCACCCCTCACTTCATTTTCATTTTTTTTGGGGGGCGGTTCTTTTTTTTACAATAATTCAAAAACTGTTCAGGCGATTTCGAAAAAAAATCGACCACAGGCAATGAGAAGGGGTCTAAATAAAAGGGAGTGAGTTTCATCAAAATCGGCAAGAAAAATCGAAAAATCTAAAAAAAAAAAAAAAAAAAAAAAAAAAAAAAGCAGTCCCCTAAATCAGCAAAATAAACAGTGTTAACATCACGGTGCTGCAACAAGTACACAATATAGTAATGAATCATTGTATCACAAATAACATATATTAAGCCAAAATGCACCTAGTCATAATCAAAGCCACTAGAATTAAATATATGTGCCTTTCACCTATATTAGGGCCGTCAGCGTAGAAGGGGGTTGTAAAGAATTAAATTTGCTGACAAGAGGGCGTGGTTATTGGGTGTGGACATTACAAATCAGCCGTATCCTAAAATAATGGTAGTAAATTACCGTTATTATTTTTTTACTTGTTTGTAACTTGCTTTGAACTTAATTAGAGATTATTCAAACTTTTAGGAATTTTCCGACAAAGACCGATTTTAAGCTTCGATTTTAGATTTGTGTTATATCAAACATTAACCAACCCAAACAGGTCACATCTCCAGCATCACACAATGATACATTGTATTATTCAATAATACTGGTTAGCATGGTTATTTTACAACTTAGGGACGCCTAGAATCTCTACCGCTGTGCACAACAGTCTGGCGGTTGAATTCCATCAAGTGCCCTTGATAACCGGATTTTAAGATGTAACCATGATGTCGACAGCATTCAGATCTCGTCCATCACAAAAGGGAATACGAACTAATACAAATTTACCTCAAAAACATTTATGCTTACACAGATACAATTCTTTACACTGTAATTACTTCTTATAATCCATAATCATACGTTTTCTACCTTTTGGAAAATAATGCACAGTGATAAATGTCCCAAAAAGGCTAAAAATAAACCATTTCTCGCATGACAACATTCGGCCATTCAAAGAAAACGGAATTCATCTTATAATACACTTAAGTAAATCATACTAAATAAATAATTATCAGAAATCTAAAGGTTAACAATTTACATACTAAATCAAACACAGTTCAAAATAACCTAATATCTGTATTCAACAACTATCATTATTATCATTATTTTTATCATTATTATTATCATTATCATTGTTAGCATTATTACTTTTATTATTATTTTATTGCTATCATTATATTAATTATCATCATTATCATTTTATTAGCATTAGTATTAATATTATAGTGGTATTATTAATACTATTATCATTATATTATCAATTATCAGGTGTAGTAGTGAGCATAGTAGTACTAGTAGTGAGTAATAGTATCATCATCATCGTAATCTTTATCATTATCATTATATATTTTTGTTGTGGTTGTTGTTATTGTTATTATTATCATCATCATTATCATCATATATCATTATTGCTATTATTATCATTATTATTACGAACATTATTATTATTATTATCATTATTACT